AAAACAAAACAGGAAAATAAACAATATTATGCCAGTGATAAGAAAGCAAGTGTGCCTAAGTCAAGCAACTGTATGACCAAAAACTCAGTGGGAAAGATGGGGAACTAAGGGATTGGCAAGGTATTCCATTAAAAAAGCAGAATTATGTGTATTTCTTACTGTTCAAATATCATGTTTGCATTCCAGCCTACCTTGGCTAAACTTCCCAGAAAATAGATGTGTGTGTCAGTTTCTGACATGCTCAGCAATCTATCTTTCTGACTGTGTGACAAAGACCTGTACCTTTTTCACCTTATCCAGTGCTTTGTACAAATTGCTCCAGCCCCCCCCCCGCCTTTTTTTCATTATTCTACCCATGAATCTTTCTTCACTTCATCTCAAGTACGTCTGGACTAGAATCTTTATAGCATTCACCCAATCATCCATTTTAGCCACTGCAACCCATATCACCCTTGTCTTTACTAACTGGCATTTTTGTCCAACTACATTCCATCCACATTAATGGGCTAATTATCGGGGCATCAACAAATCACTGCTGAGCCAAAATTCAGGCATGTAGAGAAACAGCAAAACCTTTTCATATTTAGCGGATGGCAGTCTTCGACCTCTGTTTTTAGAGGAAGTATTGTGGTTTCTATTTTTCTCAGTTTCTAAAGATAGAACCAGAGCTTAAAAATAGAAAGCTAAAAAAGGCAAATAGATAAATACATTCCCTTCTAAAGACAAATAAAATCAGGAAATGATAAGGATATGGGACTCCAGAACCCATTTTTTTACACCCTGCCAAGCCTTCTCCAAGCATGCTTGTTGAAAATAGGCAATGTGGTTATCTAATGTCTTATGGGGATTTGAATACACTGAAATGACAATTAACCCCTCTAAATAGATTAAACCTGGGTGTAAAAACCCAACACAAGTGAACTCAAATACTAGGGGAAAATGTAACACCTTGATTCAACCAGGTACATGATGAACCTGCCACTTTGCATCATCTCCCACTCTTCTATGGTCATCGTTGATGTAGAGAATAATCAGTTTGTTCTCAGGCCTCTTGGATTCATGTTTGACCTAGATCTGGAGTGTCATGAAAGCAAATGAAGCTTCAAGCATCTGGATTGTGCTATTTCTGGAAATAGTATCTTAAGTTCAGATTTGATATACCCACTTAGAACCTTTTTCTGTTAGTGAATTGAAGTGTTTTCCACCCATGATTGAGCTGGTAGAAAACCATAATGGTATGAATTTGGCTGTTCACACTGCTGATTCCTCTCTTGCTTCTAATGCCTTTGTTCCCAGTCATGGCCCATCCCCTGAGTTCTCTCCAAAGCAAGGGTGACAAAGTCTAGCAGACCTTAGATGCCTTGAAGTTCCCCTGCTATTAGAAGAAAGGGGAAAATATTATTTAACAGCTAACCACAACATAAGTCTGTCTCTTATGGGCTACAGACGAGATGAAGGCAGCACCAAGTGAACACAGTGGAAAACAGAGGTTGCTTGGGCAGGGGCTCTTTGTGCTGTGGGTACAAGCAAGTGGGAACACACATGGCCCAAGTCACATTAGGACAGAATTAACAGCTGCTTGGGGAAAAAATCAGCACCAAAAATTCCTAGGAACATTGAAATGGAGATCATATCTCACCACCAAGCGCTGATAGGGACCCTTCTTTTAATCTCCTTAGAACCTGATTTTCTAAAGAAGAAACCAGTGGTATGTTTTGGATGATCCTACACTTTGGAATTGATGTCTGTGCCTTCCTTTGCTCTCTTCTAAATCCAATGCTATCCATTCTATTAAACAAGGCTCCAATAATCGCCACACTGGGAAAAACAGAATTTGGGTTACTCTCCTTATCAACTCAGTACCAATAGGTCTAGATCTCTTTTTGTTTAGCACTTTCCCCCCAACAAATTAATTTCCTCCCCATTCACTCAACACCTCCACAGAACTTTGTGAAACTGCTTTAATACATAAACTGAACACCCCTCATCCCCCTCCCCGCCATCATGCAGTATTGGAGAAGGTTTTAGGAAGAAAAAGGAGAAGCTGAAGTTTGAAAGAGTTATTGCATTGTCTACATATAAGAAGTTAGGAGGAACCCAATGTTGCTCCAGCCGTTGTTCTGTCCAGTGGTCAGTTCAATTGTCTACTCCCCAGGAAAAATTTCCTCCTACTGGTGCTGCTCCTGGGCACACCCTAAAACAACACAGCCTGGGTCACTGGGAAGAAGAGGTGCTTTCTAGGAAGGTGGCCTTTCATGGTCCATCTCACTGGCCAATCATGCAAGCCATTTTGCACGCTACAGCAGAAATGAGAGCTGCTCCTCGGCCACTGCCTTCTTCTGACTGCAGGAAGGAGATGTCACAGCCTGGAGTGAGCTGCCTGACTGATGCATGGAAACGCTCTTTGAAACTGTGAAAAGAAGGAAAAAGGGAGAGAAAAAGAAGAAAGGAAGAGTGAGTGAGTGAGTGAGTGAGTGAGTGAGTGAGTGAGTGCTTACATATAAGAAGTTAGGAGGAACCCAATGTTGCTCCAGCCGTTGTTCTGTCCAGTGGTCAGTTCAATTGTCTACTCCCCAGGAAAAATTTCCTCCTAGAAGAGTGAGTGAGTGAGTGAGTGAGTGAGTGAGTGCTTCCAGGATCACCCTCTTCAGTTAGTCTTCCCAAAACTGGAGAAGCAACCTCCTACACAGCCAGGGCTCTCAGCAGCCCTCCCAAGCAGATACCAGTTTTGCAACTCTACAGCTGTATTTACATAACATGATGACCATGTTTATATAACCATAATTGGCTAAATTAATTCAGCTGTATGGGTTTCAGGACACCCTGGAGCATAAATTCAACACCACTCTGCTAGATTTGCAGAACTCTGAACCACATTACTGCATTAACTGGTGAGCCACCCACTTCTTAAAAGGGATTTTCCCCCAACCCCCATATTTCGGGTTTCATTTTACCCAGGATGAAAGCAGGTTGTATTGAAAGCAGCCCTGGCATGTGGACAGGCCCTTTGTGGTGTCCAAGAATCCCGTTTATTGGCTTAAGCCTCAGCAATGAATTCAAAACACATAAGAGAGGTGTCTCCTCTTCCGTTTATTGTGTCTGATCTCCTGCCTAGTACCGTGAAGTTTGCTGTGGTCACAGCATGAAGCTGTCTTTGGGCACGTTGAATGTCTTTGGCAGCAACTCCTTCAACCTGGCTGAATAAGGGCCAAGCTAAATGTTATGAATGAAAGCAGATCTAATCTTTTGCCTGTCTATGGCTTTTCAGCTGTA